ACTTGAATTAAATATTTACTTTCCGTCTCTCTTTGCTGAGCTAAATTGTACATATATCTTTTACCCTCTTTATTGTCTATTTTTATATAAAATAACTAAAATCAAAATTTTTAATATTACAAATTGTTCTTTTAGACTCCGTATGATCTACTTTATATTTTTCCTAATTCTTCAAAGTTTACATCTAAATCAATTTTTATAACAAAGCTTCTTATTTTTTATCTTTTTATTTTTTGCATATTATTACACCACAAAATTCTTATTTATAAAAAAATTTCTTTTAATTCTTCATGCACAGCTTTTGCAATTTATTTAATAGTATTCGTTACTTATATCTCACCTAGTATTAGCTTCTTTATGAACATCCCAAATTTTAAGATCTTGAAGTTTACTCATAAATATAATTTTGTATCTTTTAAGTGCTCTTTTTTAATTTTATGATAATATTTTATTGCATTTTTTAACTTTCAATTCTTCATTTTAAAATCCAAAACCAATAATTGATGTTGGGTACTTAAACTTTTACTTGGATTTACCTTATAATTTTTACAATTTTGGCAGTTTATTTTTCTCAAAGAAAATAATTAATTTATATTTTATTAGATTCATCTATAAGTGATAATTTGATCATATTATTTCTTAAATTAAATATTAGTAATAATAAAAGCATGAGATAAAGTAAAATTCAATTTGACCCTTCCTTATTCATTAGGCACTCCAAAATTATACCATCATGAATATTTCTAATATCTTTTACCACTCTCCTAATATGTTCATTTACAATTTCTTTAATAAAAATTCTTTCTTCAAGAGGTATATTTTGTATTAATTTTTGTAGATCATTCTTTTTCTTTTTTAGCATATATCTAAGCCTACTTTGGGAGCACAAACGCTTATAACATTAAGAATCTTAGTGTGAGTAATAATTATAGAGATATAATTTTTTCTCCAATTCTATTAATTTTTATAATACTGTTTTTTCAATTATCTATAATTATACTTACATCTTTTCTAGTACGATTTTTTGCGTGAATACTAAAATTTAAAACCTAAGCTATCAATCTCCTTAAAATTTTCTCGAACTTATTTAGTTTTTTGAATACATAAGATATTTGTCTTCTAATCTGTGATGCTGTCAAGTACGTGATAATCACACAATTATACATGTCAAAGTAGTATACGAACTTGGTTTAGTTTGAAGGGTTGAAATTTGTGAATTTTTTTAAACATTTCTAAAATTCTAATTTTTTTTGTAAAATACTAAATCTACAAGTCATGTTTTCTATAGTGAGAATCATGTAAAATACTAAATCTACAAGTCATGTTTTCTATAGCGAGAATCATGCTCCTTTGACTTGGATCATGTGAATTCTGGATATTCATCAAATGAATTTAAATTCTAAAGTTGAGAACTAGAGACAAATACTCCTTACTTTATTCCTAGACATTAAGAAGCATTTGAAACTCCTATTACAATTAAGTTTTGTTTAACCATGCAAAGTTTTTCAAGAATCCTCTAGTCTCCTATGAGGTTGTAATTTTTATAGGCAATAATCCTATTCCACCGGGTGATTGAGTGTTATCCAACTCTTTTTTTTGTAGAAAATAATTAGTAATTTTAGATCAACAAGGAGTTTTAATATTTCAATTGGCTAAATTGAAAGTAAAAGAAGATCAAAAGATAACACATAAACTTGTAAATATCCCAAATATTCTCAAATAAATCTCTTGGAAATAATATAATTCATCACACATCCAAATCAAAGGAGCATTGTGAATTTAGTTCCTATGCATGTTGAGAGAAAACCAAGTAACAACAACAACAACAAAGCCTTAATCCCACTACGTGGGGTCGGCTACATGAATCCTTTTTCTCCATTGCGTCCTGTTTAGTGCCATATTTTCATTTAGTTCTAGTAAATTAAGATCATTTTTTATACAATAAAGCCAAGTAAATTTTATTAAAATCAAAGTGAAAAAGTGTTTACAAAATGAACGATCAAACCTGCTGTGTAATTTCTTTGTTCCACCACGATCGTTTCTCTTACAATGATCTCCACTGGATTTTTCTCTCACACACTCACAATGTAGGAAAGACACTCACTAACCACTCTAAGAAACAACACTCATACACTCCAATCTCTCCACACTTACACTATATAAAGAGAAGGTGCGTAGAAGACTAGAGAAGATTGTATTCAGCCTCCATCCATCAAATCATGTGTATTTAAGCCAACCGATTGCTTGAAACATCTTGGAACTGTGGAAATTGGCCAAAGCAAGTGTAAGGATTTAAAAATATATTTCAATTCAAATCATAAATTCTAAGTCATGGAAAATTCAATATATTTTTAATGACATTTAATTAAATTAACTTTTATAATATATGCATAATTTTTACCTCCACTTCACTATATCGTCAATCTTTTACCAGTCTCAAAATGAATAACCTTCTTCCACACTTTTTAGTTGAATAAAATTTAGTAACTTTATTTTAACTAATTATATGATTTAGTCTAATAACGATAATAACATTAACAATTATTTTATCAGTTCTCGAATCGATCTTCCTCCTTACACACTTTTTTTTCTTGTGTGAAATTAATAATTTTTTACTCTAAAACTTACGTTTCTTGATTTAAGATTTCTGAAATAAATTAATAAACATTAACTTTTTTCCCCTCCACTTATATAATATATTTATAATTTTAATCTTCACTTCTCCACTTCACTATATCGTCAATCACTTATATAATATATATATAATTTTAATCTTCACTTCACTATATCGTCAATCTTTTACCAGTCTCAAAATGAATAACCTTCTTCCATACTTTCTAATTGAATAAAATTTAGTAACATTAATTTAACTAATTATATCATTTACCCTAATAACGATAATAACATTAACAATTACTTTATCAGTTTCTCAGATCAATTTTTTTCTTTCTTGTGTGAAATTAATAATTTTTTACTCCAAAATTTATGTTTCTTAGTTTCTGAAATAAATTAATAAACATTAACTTTAATACCCATACATTAATTTAATTCGAAAACATGATATCAAACTAATAATACTTGAATAAAAAAATTTCATATCACAGCTTAATAAGCCTCGACTAGCTGACCTAACCCAACATGCACAAGTCTTCCCCTCCTTCCTTCAATCTCGGCTCGATCCATCAAAGCACACGGGAGGTTGTCTCCCTTGCTCTTTGCTTCAAAGCCACTCGACTAGGGTGTTGCCAGGGTCGACACTCCACTTCACGAAGCCATGCGCTCCACTTCACTTCTCTTCCTTCAACTAGGGTTCGACACGACAGTGACGTCGCACGCTAGACTCCTTGAAGCACGGTTCTCCCTCTTCCTTCAAATTGGGCTTCCCCTTTCAGCTCGCAAGAGTCAAAGCCTCCTACGCATGTAAGTGGTAACTTCTTGCTTACATTTCTTTGATATGTAATAAATTGTAAGTCTCATGCCTTATTTATGATTGCAAATGTTAAACAAAGCAATGTAATCAAAATTAGTAATTTTCTTCAAGTCTGAGTCTAGCGTGTAGTGGTACGACTTGATGCACTCTCTCTGTCGCAAGCTGTCACTTGGCTGCCGTGCAATGCTCAAAGCTAGCGCTTTGCTTCACCAGGCTCCTGAATTCCACTTTATTGTAGGTTCTATTAACACTAGTAAATTATTAGATCTGCTTAAAAGATATACAAGATTGCACTAATGGATCGTCTAATTGTTATGCTGGTTCATCTTTTTTTAATGTAAAGTGATACTATTTGAAATTGTTCCTTTTAGGATCCTTGTTCATTGTTGAAGGAGATTCAAATTGCTAAGATTTTAAGATTTTAAAAATACCAGAAGGCTAGTAAAGAAATCTGCACGAACTAAAGGAAAAAAGAGAAGGAAAACGAAATAACAAAAGAAAGAGCAATGTACTAGAGGAGCACATGTTTTGCTTGTTTTAATATACTTTTGATTCTTCTCATCATCATCATTAGTATCATCCCTACTTGTGGTTGTATTTATGAATCCATCTCCTTTTTTAATCTACATTAAGTGCTACGTACGTAGGTCTTAATTGTGTTTTAGCCAAGTTTTCTTATTAGAACTTCACGTCATGTACTTCGGTTGATGATTTTGTCTAATCATTTCACATAATGCTATTTATTTTCGTTATTGCTGCATCATTTGCCATCTATTTTATTTGATTGCACTTAAATTTATTCACTCTTTTCCTATCATCTGTAGGTGCTTCTCAAATGGTCTCGATATTGTAGCTGGTATTCTTTGTAATGTTACTGTTGGCCAACAAGTTTCCATAAGGGTGAAGTTTAGTTTGTCCGAATCTACAGTTTCTTAGGCTTGTTTGGATCTCTGAGTAACATAAATTGTTGAGGCAACACATGTTCTTGAACAAGTCAGAATTGAGAAAACCTAAGCCACATCTCTTGCACCCAAATCAGCTTGATTGGAAGTATCATTGAATTTTGTTTGCAACGTTCATAAGATTTCTGCTTGAAATCACTTCTCCTTATAATTTTATACAATTTTCCCTTGATTTGTAATTCCAAGAAAAGCATTTTGAATAATTAAACAATCTACTCACAAAATTCAGTACATTAATATGCCAAACAAAATTAATTATTTTTTTACTTGGGATAATTATTACAAAACAATACGCAAGATGCGTAATGTAATATTAAAGCTGGAACATATAAGTCAAGCAACATGCATCTAAGAAAAGGCCAAAAAAATAAAACAAACTAATTGTTTAAGTACGCATGCTCCATAATGTAGCGCACAACCATCTTAGGAAAGTGATAAATCTCGTCGGATAAATCCTCCCTTGGTTTATTGTTGTGTAGGCTCTAATTAAGGTTTTTTTTTTTTCTTGCTCGGTTTATTTATTTTGAAGTTTTTTTTTACCACCTTTTGATTTGTGGTTTTTATGCAATTTGCATAATAAATTAAAAGCAATATATGATAATTTGCAGGCATGCATGAAGGGTTCGCCGGCAAAGGCCCAGGTTGTATATGCTCCAATAGAGGAAGTTGGTGGAGACGAACGCTTGTTACGTGCTTGTCGTATCCAAAAGCAGTTTCACTTTAATTTATGATATTTTTTAGCTTTTTCACTTTAGTGAAGAATGGTCTTAGGAAGCGAAGATGTTGGAATAATTCCCATAATTTATTACTTAACTTTTGCAATTAAGAGGTTATCATTGATGCTTATGTGGAAGCGGGTCTTGTTCTTCAAAAGGATGCTCGTCAATCTTTAAAGGTTGGCTTTTAATGTGTCTTCCGAACCCAATCTTTTTTATCCAGATATGCAACCGCCAATTTTCAACTTTTCCCCAATTTAAATTTCTAATGTTGTGGGACAGCCCTGGCTGCTGTATGGAAAACAGACATGCATTAAAGTTGGAAAATTGTATGAAATGATTAGATATTAATAAATGAGAAAGTTTGGTTAAATCAATGAACTTGTCGAGGTTCTCATGTTGAAACATTATGGTATTCATGCTGCAACTCGCTAATGTTCATGACACTGAAATGATTAGATATTAATAAATGAGAAAGTTTGGCTAAATCAATGAACTTGTCGAGGTTGTCATGTTGAAACATTATGGTATTTGTGCTGCAACTCGCTAATGTTTATGACAGATTCGCCAAAAGTGTTTTTGTTTTCACTGAGTACCTATAGCTATAATACGCCTAATTTATAACATCCAGATTCATTAGTCGGAGTTTAATAGGCTAAAATAAAATACATTAATTTATGATCAAGCATTCTGTCATGTCATTAATGAAAAAAATGCTTCATGATAGCCGTGCAACCTATGCGATGTGAATCCATAACAGCATTACGTCAAATTTTAATTACATCAAGCTGTCATCACGATAAATTATAAATAAACTTTATTTGGCAAATGCTTTTTTTTAAGTTGCTTTTCGAAGGCTTGGCATGTCACAAATTTGAATTTTAACTATATTGCATGTGTATGTCCTCCATGATTTGACAATGTTTTGAGAATAAAACATAAACAGTCGTTATATTCTCTATACCAGAGGGTTATTAGTGCAACCTGGAAGTATGTTATACATGTGTTTGTTTCAGTCAGAACACTCGTCATAAAAACATCTTGATTAATCTTTGTTTTATGTTAACCTTGCCTTTTCTTTTTGAATTGTAGCTCCATGCCACTTTGATGAATGTAAGACATAGAAAAAGGTTTGTGTGAGCTGCATTTTTATTTGTTACGTTAGCGCCTATCTTTGGTTAATGGTAGTTATGACTGAAGCTTATAGCATATGTTTTCAGAAATATGAGGACTGAAAGAGTTGATTCTTTTGATGCACGAGGTATATTTAAGAAGTATGGCAAAGAAGATTGGGGCGAATATGTAATTCCAGAAGCACATCTTTCTGAGAGATTTCTTTATGATGAAAGTGGATACTACCATTGCTGTTGCTCGATACCCTTTCCTGTAGCATCGAAATTCAGTGGTTTCTAAGGCTGTTGAGTCAGGTGAAACATTTCTATATTTGAAAAATAGACTTCTATAGTTTTCTATTTTAGTTTCTTGCCACCCTTAAGTGTGTAAGTGCGATCAAGCTTCATTTCTTTGATACAGAACAGACAAAAAGTTTAATCTAATGATTTGGCATTGGAATTTGCATACTATCAACCAAGTTTATGATAAGCAAACACCAGGTTTTAGATGACAATCAGGTTTTAATCTGCTTGCAATCATCAATGCTTGATACTAGATCATTCTATAGACCAATTCATTTTTGTAAGAGAGAGGGGGAGCGATCCACAGGGAGAGGGGGAAGGGTCGCGTGCGATCGGGAGCCAGGGAGAGAGAGAGTGCGTAAGTTTATATTATAATATAATAATATTATTATTATTATAATAATAAAAATTATTATTAATTTTATAATAGTCTCCCGCACATTTTAGCTCAGACGCGCCGTTATTTTGAAATGAATGTCCTCCCTAGCTAAAATCGACGTTCCAGACGCGTTGGCGCAGTCCGTTTCGTCATTTGGGATCGTTTGGGCCATTTTTTCGACGATCGTGCTCAAAATGATAATTTGTGCACTTTCACCCCGCCCGCGAAGCCGTAGCGAAGTGGACATCCCCCGTAAGTGAAATCGATGTTCCGGACACAATGGCGGGGTCCATTTCATCATCCGAGGTCATCTAGACAACTTTGCCGACGATCGGGTTAATTTGAGCCAACTTCGTGCGCGGCGCAACGTATAAAATTTATTGACACTCGTGATATCCAAAAACTGATGCCAACAGTGTTTTTTTTTTTACTAAAAATACTTGTTTTTATAGACATATTTTTATGTAGATTATTGCTATTGTTTTTAAAATGCCACTTTAGAGGTTTAAGATAAAATACTAAAGTTGAACATAACAAGAATATATTAGATGTTTTAAAAATATTATTTGATTCTATTAAAAAAATATGTTTGACACTTACAATTCATTAGGTTGAACCATCACTTAATGACTAATATGTTTGATTTACATATAAGGATCAAGATCTATTAAATTGTATTTATTTTATTTATTTATACTAAATTATATGATAAGAAAAATTTATTATTTCATAGGTGGGATGAATGTCACACTATAAGATGTACCTTTTATTTAGGCTAAATGAAGAGGCACTTATTGGCCCTATAACTGTTGGCCAAGAGTTACTCCGGTTGAGTTGGTCATATTGTTGTGATGAATTATTTGGAAGTCATTCGTGCATATATGTGCATGCAAATCAACCTAGAGACCAAGATATTGTGATAAACTTTGGTATGAGACATTCTCAATCAAATATAATTGTACCTCTGTTGGCTTAAATGGATTTTTTACATAGAATTTTAGGAGGGATTAGACAATCTCATTTTCTTGATTTATTTTAGGGTATATTTTGTATATGTTTGGTTATTTTTATCATATTACATATATAAATATACATTTATAATATTTACCATTACTTGATGATTTAATTATATTTTTATAATATTCACTATAAAGAGAGTTCAATCCATCTACTAAGCCTAACTATATTAATACAAGAAAATATTACATATTACATTCGTTCACCATATGTACATATGGTGAACGATCTACGCAAAAACACAGAAGTCTCTCATGCATTAATTTTGACGAACCTACAGAAAGAGTAGAAGGATGAACCCATGAGGAAAACTCCACTTCCTTCACTCGTTCGAGCCATAGGTATCGACTCATTTTCACAAAGTGGTGTTTTTTTTTTACTAAAAATACGTGTTATTTATAGACACTTATTTTTATGTAGATTATTGCTATTGTTTTTAAAATGCCACTTTAGAGGTTTAAGATAAAATACTAAAGTTGAACATAACAAGAATATATTAGATGTTTTAAAAATATTATTTGATTCTATTAAAAAAATATGTTTGACACTTACAATTCATTAGGTTGAACCATCACTTAATGATGGCAATTGTCTTATGACTAATATGTTTGATTTACATAAAAGGAAGATCAAGATCTATTAAATTGTATTTATTTTATTTATTTATACTAAATTATATGATAAGAAAAATTTATTATTTCATAGGTGGGATGAATGTCACACTATAAGATGTACCTTTTATTTAGGCTAAATGAAGAGGCACTTAATGGCCTTATAATTGTTGGCCAAGAGTTACTCCGGCTGAGTTGGTCTAATTGTTGTGATGAATTATTAGGAAGTCATTCATGCATGTTGTGATAAACTTTGGTATGAGCCATTCCCAATCAAATATAATTATACCTCTGTTGGCTTAAATGGATTTTTTACATAGAATTTTAGGAGGGATTAGACAATCTCATTTTCTTGATTTATTTTAGGGTATATTTTGTATATGTTTGGTTATTTTTATCATATTACATATATAAATATACATTTATAATATTTACCATTACTTGATGATTTAATTATATTTTTATAATATTCACTATAAAGAGAGTTCAATCCATCTACTAAGCCTAACTATATTAATATAACATGACGTTTACACTTGGTAAAGTGTGGTGTGGGGAGCATTTGCATGTGGGTGGACCGACACTCCGTGAGATTTATCTCGCAATATAAACAAATGAGATTAGAATATGTACTTAAAATTTCGTCATAATATTATTTGTAGTATCTTGATGGAATGAGGATATAGTAGAAGTGCTTAGAAGAAATTTGCACATGTATAAACTTTCATATTTGCATGAATAACATTAAAATCTTTAACATCACATAAAAAAGACCACTATTATAATCTCTTTGAAAGTGAGATCATTTTTTCAAACATAAATTTATAGCATCAAAGTGTTGAAATATAACTATCAAAGCTTTTGTCATAAATGCATAGATACATAAAAATTGTAAAGTTTGCATTCAAATATCTCAATAATAATAATAATAAATCATTTGAAATTTAAATAAGTAGCAATAATTTGCTTGCCCTATTCCTACAATTTACAAAGAACAAATCTTCCCTTATTAAATAAAAATAAATAAATATATACTACATATATTGTTTTAAGTTATGTCTTCTTCTTATCCTTCTCCTCCTGCCCTAATAGTGTCCGGAGGAAGCAACAAGATCACTACTTGGCGGGCTCACCGCAATCCACAACAAGGAGATGGTAATGGCAATAAGCCCCGCCCAAACATAAACAATTGTCGGCGTCCTCCCCCTTCTCCCCATTAGCCCCTTACAGAAAGGATACATGTGCGCCAAAACCCAGAAACTGAAGAACAATCCTCCAATCAACTTGCTCCACTGCGGAATAACACTGTACAGCGTCCTCGCCACGCCGATAAAAATGGCTATGATGTTCACAGCAAGTATAGTCAGCGGCGGGATGAAGAGACTTGTCCACTTGATTATATACAGATCCGCGAAGGCATCATCCTCGTCCTCATTAGCAGACTTGGAGGTTAGCGTGAAGGAGATATCGATTCCGGCGATGATTTTCAGAAGGCCTTGGACGACGGCGACAAGGTGAGCGGAGGTGCCGCCGATGACCCAAAATTGTTCGTTGCGCCAGTATTCCTCGAGGGAGATGCCGGACCATTTGACTTCGAGAATGGAGAGGAGGGAGAGAGTGAGGGTGATGAGGAGGAGGTAGATGAGGAAGGAGGAGTTGAGGGATTGGACGACGAATTGGCCGGTGAAGAGGGAGACGGCCGGGAGGAAGCAGTATATGAAGAGGAAGATGGAGGTGAAGGGGTAGATGCCCACGTTTATGTAGGCGATGCGTTGGAGGAATTTCAGACGGGAGCTTGCCAGCAGAGCATTGTTTTTGGAGAAGAAGATCTCCACGGACCCTGTCGCCCACCGCAACACCTGCAGAAAAATCAACCATTTTCTTCATATTTCAAAAAAAAAATTAACCTTTTCTTAATATTTGAAGGAAAATAAAAAAAGGTATACCTGATGCAGCCGGTCAGTCAGGTTGATGGGCGCCGTCCCCCTGAACGCATCACGCTTAGGAATGCAGTACACGGACCTCCAGCCCCGATTGTGCATTCTGTAGCCCGTCACCACATCCTCCGTCACCGACCCATAGATCCACCCAATCCTATCGCCCCACTCCGTCTTATCCTCATACCTGCAAAGATCTCAATTTTTATTTCCAAAATCTCACATTTATCCCCATTTCATCAAAACAGATTAAATCAAGCATTACCAAGAAGAAATCACAGATACAGCCTCCGCAACCGTCGATGCATCCAGCGGCGCTCGAGGTTCAAGCAACGCACCGGGAGGCCTTCCATTCTTAACCGACGGGTGGTCAGCCAATGGCCGCCCTTGAAACTCCGCGAGCTCAATCGAATCCACCAACAAAACAGAGTTACCAAATCTCTGCGGCATGTTGAGGTCTGGATGCTCGTTCAGCGGTTGGAACTCTTCATCTTCTTCTCCCCTCACTCGCACCGCCTCCGCTCGCCGCTTGTACTGCCCATAAAGCCCAGAGTACTCGTTAGCGCGCGGCGGACAAAATCCGTAAAGAGCGTAGCGCCGGAATAAGCATCCGGTGCCCACATACATTGGCCCCTGTAAACCATCCAGCGCGCGCATGTTCCCATCGAAGAAGACGGTGTTGTGGTTCGCATAGCGGTCTGAGGGATCAATTCCCTCGAATCTCTGCGGGTATTGAATGTAGCATATTCGGTCGCCGCCTCGATCCATCATGTAACACATGCCTTCACGAATGGCGAGTGAATTGTATATGTAATGGTCGCAATCGAAGTTGAGGATGAAAGGTCCATTGGAGAGGATGGCGGAAGCTCGAACCAGAGCGTTCATGGCGCCCGCTTTTTTGTTATGGTCGTATCCAGGGCGTTTCTCTCGGGAAACGTAGACGAGCATGGGAACCCGGATGTCGACGGAGGTGAATTCAATGGAAGGGTGGTCGCCGGGGTTGCCGAGGATGGGATTAAAGTCGGGAGCTTTGATCATGATTTGAAGGATTCCGGCATGGTCTTTGGTGGAGTGATCGGGGGAAGGTGATTTCCAAGTGCCGGGCCAGTGGGTTTCGTCGGCCATCCAGGTGGCGATTGCTACATTGGACCTCGCTGCGGAGGGATCCTCTCCATTTTCTTTCGCGAGATTCGCGGCTTGTTTCTGTGCTTTTGAGTTGAGTGCCCTGGAGCGCTTCCGTTTTTTCGAGCTGGTTGGTTACTTATCTGTTGAGGATCGCTTCCGAATGGTTTCTGGGAGCCCGTTGATCCTGACCTTGAACTCATCGTATTCACGCTTGATCCACCGCCTGTCTTTGACGAAATCAGGTTGCTTTTTGTTTTTGGTGGGATCAATCTTGAGGTTGAAGTAGCTGTCAGGGTTGCGTGGCTCGATACAATGTTTGCGGCAAAAGGGGACCCATAATTGGGCGAAGGAGGCGGCTGCCGCCATGGCTTCGAAGGTGAGGAGGGCGGCGCCATCGTCGGAGACATAGATGGTGAGTTTTTCGACAGGGTACTCTGTGGCGAGGACGGAGAGGATGGTGTTGGCGGTGACGAGAGGGGGTTCCTTCTCCGGATCGGCGGTGGAGATGAACACATCGATTCCAGGGAGGTCGGAGCGGCCCGTTGGGTTTGAGGGGGATGAAGTTTCAAATTTCTCTTGCAGGGCGGCGAGATCAGCTGCACGATTAATTGGGTTTATCTTCGGGAGGATGTCGAGAAGCCATGAGAAAGCGAACCAAATCTCGCAGGTGGTTGATAAACCCCATAGCCATAAAGCATCCGTGTTCGTGTTCGATATTCTCCAAATTAGGAAGGCAATTAGACAAACCAGACGCGCCAGCACCAACAACCTATATGGGCTTAGAATGGCGGCGGGGAGCCGAACTTTTCTGGTGAGGGGCTTCCATGGCTTCTCCAAGAAATCCTTCATATTCACCCCGCCATCTTCATCCAATCCGCCATCCTGCGAGCAGAACGCATTGCCGATCCCATACGTCCCCCTCGACTCATACAGCCACCGATTGTTATCAAAATCGCTCGTCTGTGTCCGAAAAAGCATCGATTTCTGCGTCTTCGTGCAGACGAACGCCGTTCGGGTTTTTCGGCGGCGCCTCCGCCGCGCTGATTCGTTTGCTTGGCTGCATTGGCGTAGGGCGGGGGAGGGAGGTCCTCGGACTTGGTGCTGGAGCTGCCGACGGCGGTGTACGGCTGGTTGTCGGGGGTGGGGGGCATGAAAATGGTGTAGTTTTGGAAGTCGTTGGGGCCGCCGGAGGAGATGGAGGTGAGCTCCGGGAGGGATTCGACGTCATCGCGGGAGGTTTGTGGG